AAGGTAGGAACTATCTCTCCAACTTACCCTCTTCCTCAAATCATGCGCATGACAACGACAGAAAAGAAAGACAAGGCTCAAGGGGTGGAGCATCAACGATCATTAATCGACACAGCAGCAACAATACACACGATAACATCTCACCCATCTAAGCTTACACTGGCACAAACAATGCAGTATACGGCAAAACACATACGGCACACCGACACTGAACCCCGATCTCACCACAACAACCCCTCCACACACCAGCCACCCTCATCACATTAAAACACCGCATCTAGCCCCCCCATACAGAGGCCCCCCACCTATACCAGTAGCCAACCAAATCACGACCTCCGCCTCCCCCACCACTAGCACACAAATCATCCATCATCTCCACGCCCTCCACCGAACAATCCTCCTCACTCACCCACCCGGCCCCCCCACCGATTCCGCGCTTCCAGCACACACCTAAAAGTTTATTACATTTTGTATTTATGCACTAACATTAAATTCCTTTGAATAACTCTTATTAAATTTAATTTATTATCATATCCATTATTTTTTATTATCTCATTAGTAATATATCCACCCCACCCGCCCCCTCGCCCAACATTTTATCCCCAACACTCGCGTCCAAAGTGTCCCACCTTCCCACCCACCGCCTCATCACCCCACCCTCCCACCCGTCTTCCCATCACTCCACCTCCTTCTCTCGCCCAGGCTCCACATCTAAGAGTCAGGCTTTATAACCAACCAGTATTTTCAAACATTAGCGTCATCATTTTCACTCGTGTCGATACATTTTTAGTCGATACTAAATCTGCACTATAATCTCCCCCCCCAACGCCTCCCGTTCCAATTGGTTACTAACAAGGAATTGTTGTCGCCTGCATCGAGTCAAACCAAGAAGCCCACCTTACTCTTCGTCAACTATCTCCCTCCTTTGGCACAAGGACAAGTACAGAGGAAACGCTGCTTCGATCCCTGAAGATAATCCTATCCCCGAAAGGGGAGGCCAAGTGCTGCCAAAATTTTGATATGGAAGCTCAAGCCTTCTTGTCTCTCCTTAGCTTTCCCAACCAGCCCTCACCCCTCGTGTCAATGCACCGCCAATTTTCACAGGCAGAACCTAACTTGGAAAGAGGACAGTCCTATTAGACAGATCCAACATGATTTCGCCTTTGTCAACTCATTCAACATTTTCTTTGGTTCCCGTCTCCTGGGAGGGAGGTGAACTGCTGCCAAAATTCTACTAGACATTTCATAAGATTTCTTTGTCAGTGATTTCGCCTCTGCATTCCTAATACAACCTTACCGTCAGACTCTTTCTTTGGTTTCCATCTCCCGGGAGGGAGGTAAACTGCTGCCAAAAGTCTACCAGACATTTCGTAAGATTTGTTTGTCAGTAATTTCGTCGGTTTAAACCAGCATCTGAGCATAAAACCGTTCCCCAAGAGGGGAGGTTAATTGCTGCCAGTTTTTTAGAATCTCCCCATTCGTCTGAGCATAAACCGATCCCCAAAGAGGGGAGGGTAAGTGCTACCCATTTTTCCCAGAACCCCCCCCATAATGCTCTCTCTTTCCACACTATACATCTCAAACTCAACATCCACAGCCATAACCTCACCCTCCTCCGCACAGACTAACCATCCCAATTGGAAAGTGGACAATCCTTGTCGAATTCCAGCACGGGCTCAATCCGGCCCTATTGGGTCTTACTCCACCACTGACTCTGTTGGCGGCCAGTGAACAAGAATAAATCAACCCGTCCATATCACTCGGTCCCTCGTCCAACCTGTCTCACTGTCAAACATCACAATGACGCCCTCTCACGTTGCAACACCGGGGCCAACCTCAACCACTGGACCAAACTCAATCACAGGCTCTCCCCCAGGATCAGCAGCTAGACAGACCTCAAGCACAGCCTCAGGACCCGCCTCGGGCACAGTCAGATAACACATCTCAACAACGGAATCAAGCAGAATGCGCTCCCAAAACGAACAGGATCCAAGTCAGGAAGTGCTCAACTTGATGATCAAAGAGTAAAGAATCAAACCTGTAATCTCAAACGAAATCCTGAAAATTAGCAAGGAAGAAGAAGCGGAGGTGGAAATTTGGGAATACCTGAAGGAACACCTCCCAGTGCTTGATGAGTTCTATGAATCTCACGCAATTGTCTATTCATTCCCAGCTAAACTGAAGCATCTACCGCCCACGAAAAAAAGGAGGAGGATCCGTGAAGCACTACAGAGCATAGAAAGCCTGAAAACCACCGAACCCAAAGTTGCCTACCAACAAAGAGGAAGGAGTGCAGTCACAGTACTGTGCGCCAACCCAGACTATGCCACATACCTCGTATCGGTTCAAGCACTGTACTGTGAGGGTTGAGTCGTTTCTATCAACAAATGGAGACCCAACAGATCAGCACCACAGGGTTCTTCAAGACACAGACAAGCACTGGTGTTCAAACACTTATGGATTCAATTTGACAATCAAACGGATGGTGTGCATGGCATGGTGGAAGACAGACTGAAAGATTCCTAACCCCAATGCCCCCTGCTTGAGTGGCTTTCCTCAGCACCAGGCTTCCTAATTCCAAGCACCAACTCCTGAATAGCATGTGTCGAACTCAAAGCAAGCAACCCTCCTGACCTTCCAGACAAATGGTTCTTCCGAATAGGCCACCAAATCCAAATTGTATGCATTTCCACGAAAGCAAATCCCATGTGCTTCAAATGCAGAATCAAAGGTCACATGGGAAATGATGCTCACTGCCCCCTGAACAACAGAAAGGAAAAGGAGGACTGCACCCCTCGATGATGATTGAAGCAGAAGCATTGAAGGGCATATGGATCATCAACAACCCAGCCTACGCAAGCTGGGTTTTCGATGACCTCAGGGAAACCCCAGCTTGGATCTGGACTTTGTCAGACTCAGAACCAACACGCAAACCTGATGTGTTCCCCCCTCATGGGACCATATGGCAGTTGAATGGAGGGGAAAGGAACGATAGATCCACCCACAAATACGACAACTTCACCCTGGGACACGCACTCCATCTCGAACAGACCATGTACAGGAACCAAATCCTGAGCGAAGTACACAGCATGGGGAAAGAAACCAAAAAATCCTACCTCAAAAATCTGCAGTCAAGAGGCAACCTGACAACCAAGAACAAGTCCAGAAGCACCACAGGGACCACGGGTCAACCCGAAAGGAAAATCAGAGGAGAGGAGGAAGAAGCCAAGGAAAAAGACGAGCAGGGAAGGGTACTCCACAACTGATGACAGGACCAGCGGCATGCTACTAGACATTCAACTCCCAACAAAGACAACAGATGACAACCAGGTCAATGGAGCAAGACTCACACAGCACGCTGGAATGGCCGGACGAATACATCATCTCCCTGAGATCTCGCCGCGACCTGGACTTGGAAATCCGGTTGGCACATGCAAGACACATTAGCATTCTAAAAAAGTCCACCACAACGGATAACCCCGCAGGTTTTCCCACCTCACCAAATCCCTACGAAGCCCTTCAATCTGAAAATAACTTTTCAGAATTTTTGGCATCTCAGTACGTGGACAAAAGTGAAGAGGGGATGGAAGTGGACTGGGAAGAGACAACCAACCAGACAACCGTTTGGCCAGCCTCTTACCCGAATGAAGCCAAAGAGACTACAACTCAAGAGGAGGAGGCTACCAGCAGTCCCGAAGAACAGGGAACACACCTCACTGAAGAGGGGAAGACGAGAATGCTAGCCATGGAACTGCACAGTCAGACAAAAAAGTTGAAGAAGGAGAAGAGGAGACAAATTGCAATCCTCGAGAGGCAAACAAGACACCTCGAGGAACAAAACCAAGAACAGGGGAAAATCTCTCCCTCCCTCAACAGATTGGCAAACGAAAACCCATCAGAACTGGCAGTGGCAGCTAGGATTGATGCCATCACACTGTCCCCCTCAGTCCCAATCATGCCTTTTCGCTTCAACAAGGAAAAAGGTGAGTGGCAGATCGCGGTCAAACCATCCCTGTCCATTATCACAACCCATGATCCTGTCAAAGTGTCTCCTTTCTTGAGAACAAATGTTTCAGACCAGCAGCCCCTGCTCATCTACAAGAAATGGCAGGATAAGAGCTTGAACGTGGCATGGAAGGATGACAAAGACAGAACCAACATCAGCGACATGAACGCCATCATGGCTATCTACGGCCAGCAAACAGAACCGAGGGACAATTTGCAATGGAAATCATGAGATCTTATCTGTGGAATCCCATACCAACTGCTGGGACAAAAGGAAGAGGTGGACAGAATCGCATACAGCATGGCAGCGTTCATGAGAGAGGAGTGGCTGGGAAAGAACGAGGAGGCCTCTCTGGAAAGGGCAAAGAAGGTAAAGGAGGCAAGGGACAAAAGATTGGCTGAGTTCAAAGCCTCCTAGATCCATTTCCAGGCCCGAATTAGAGATAGCTATCTAAACAGATAATGGAATATCCAGCAGATACCTTCACTGACAGAGAGGCTGGGCACAGATTGAAAAGACTCAAACCCACTTTCGACGCGGACATTGCAAAAGAAATTGGGAAATAACCAGAACTATCTATCGTGTCCTGGAATGTCAATGGCCTGACCTCCATTCTGGACAACCCAGTCAAATGGAAGAACCTAACAAAAATCATGGGATGGTTTGGGCAAACCCCTCCAGACATAACTTGCCTCTAGGAAACACACCTAACCAACAGTCAGGAACACAGAAAGATACAAACAACAATCCTAAAGAAATATCTTGTCAAATCTGCAGTTTGGGCCAACGCAACTCCGAACGGCTCGACAGGCACGGTCATACTATTACATCAGAGTTCTCCTGCTAGCAACAACATCGAAGTTCTTTCCACATCACAGGATCACATGTCAGGCAGATGGGCCAGAATCGATATCAAACTCAAAGAAAAGATAATATTAGTCATAAGCATTTACGGTCCGAATGCATTGCAGGATAAAAAACACTTCCTTCTTACCCTAAAACAACTACTCCCCATTCACAATCACATCACCATAATGGGAGACTGGAACTCGGTCCAAGACCCCACTCTAGATAGAATATCTAATTCCCAAGACCCCGCTTCACAATCCAATAGCGAGAACCTAAAAGACTTCATCACGAGGAAGAACCTTATTGACCCATACCGTCTCTTATCACCCAACATAAAACGTTTCTCATGTGTCAGGAAAACTACACTAGGAAGAACATCTTTCTCAAGAATCGACTTCTTCCTAACCTCGGAGCCCCTCTCAGGTACCATATTAAGTTGTAACATAACAAGCAACCCCTTCCACAAAGGCCTAGACCACAAAGCCATCACCCTCGCCCTGTGACTTACCAAAACAGGATACAGTGGCAAAAGCTTCTACCGGTTCAACAACGCTCTATTATCCTCTCATGACTTCGAAACTGAGTTGGCCTACATCCTAAGTTCACAAACACAAATAAATCCAGAAGAAGACATATTTACCAAATTCCCTCAAATAGTAACTAACATCAGCCTGAAGTGCCACAATCCTCCAGAAGATTAGCAGCACGAAGAAAGGAGCGGGAAAAAACATTACGTAATGTTATTGAAATAGCGGAAACAAATCTTCAAGGAAACACAAACTCAACACTTTATGCGGAAGTATTCTCAAAAGCCAAGGAGGAACCAGAGGAATGGACAAAGCTAAAACTAAGGGGTCTACAACTCAGGGCCAAAATCAAAGATTGGGAATTAAACGAAAGGATGTCCAAATTCTTCTTTCAGAGGATCAAATCCAATGTAACACGGAGATTGAGTGCCTACTAAATGAACAAGGAATCTCGTCCTCCGAAACAACGCAACTAATAAGCATAGTAACCAACTTCTACAAGGACCTCTACACCAACAAATCGCCAATAGAAGGTTCCAACATAACCTCAAGAGCCAGGTTGAAATTCTTAAAGTATCTCGATCGCTCCCTGACAATTGAAAAACCGATAACATTAGAAGAGCTCCACACAACCCTCAAAGACCTAAAACCAAATAAGGTTCCAGGCAGGGCCGGTCTATCGAAAGAATCCTGGATGGCAAGCTGGCACACCTTTGGGCCCCTGTTTCTAAACTTTCTTAACAGGGCCTAGGAAGAAGAATCACTAGGACCCACCCTTAGTACGGGAGTTGTTACCCTCCTCTACAAAAAGGGAAGCAAGGAGGACATCAGAAATTATAGGCCAATATCCCTCCTAAATGTCTCCTACAAAATCCTAGCCAAACTCCTAGCCTCCATAATCAATAAAATCACAGGAGGCTGCTTCCATCTCGATCAAGCAGGTTTCATCCCTGGCAGACTAATTCTAGACAATGTAATGACCCTCGCCGAAACAACTAGAATATAGACAGGCCCTCAGCAATTACAAGACAGGTCCATAAATCCAAGAGGCCTTTCAAGTCCAAGAGTACATCAGGCAGGCTAACTTAGGCAGGGGTGAAGGGTAATAAATCCTTCCTTGGGATGTAATCAATGCCGTCTTTCGGACCTTCCCACCGTAAGGGGGAGGAGCGTGAGCGAGTACCCATTGTAATCATTTCTGACTTGCCGGTGGAATAGGAACCGGACTGATACAATACCTTTCTCGGCCTTTTGACTAAGATCAAGTGTAGTATCTATTCTGATCAGTTTAATATCTGATCCGTGGTCCATCGGACCAATTAAAAAAAAAAAAAAAAAAAAAAAAAAAAAAAGGAACCGGACTGTTACTTACTTGTTGTCTTGATTGCTAACTTACCTCCCTGTGTCCTCTGTTTGTCTTGAATCTGTGCTTGTCTTGGGACTTACTTCCCCGTTCCTGATATATATGTCTCTGTCGAATGCAGGGTCTAGTGTTGCCGTACTTGTCAAGGCTGGTTAGATTGGGGAGTTCCTGTTTTGGGTTTTTACATTAGTCTAATCTGAGAATATGTTGGCTTCAAGGGACTCGGGGATGCTGTTTACTGAGGGGTCTTGCGAATGGAGTCTTGGTGAGGATTCTTCCCATAATCGAAATACTATACTTGAGCCTAGGATCAGAGCAACTTTGCCTTTTGCTAGGAAGGAGAAGAAACTAGACGAACCCTAGAACTTCACCAAAGGTACTCTAATGGTACGACAAGGAGCAGGAGTGTATAAGACAGAAATAAATGACCTAGGCAACTGTGTTAGCGACTAAAGCAAATCCGACAGCCTAGAAGATGATAGAAACAGACTGGAAATAGGAAAAGGGATAGGATACAGCGCATAGCGCCCACAAAAAAACAAACCCCCCGTACCAAACTACATACAACAGACGACCCGAAAAGCCCAGGGTTTAGGGTTTAAGAGAAGGCAAAGAGCAGAAACCACAGTACAGATAGGATTTAGAGTACCCGGCAGCAAAAAGCTGAGAGAGAGGGAGGCTAGAAGATAAATCCCACAGAACTCAAGAAGTAAACAAGTTCATACAAGTTCCTTGTTATGACCCGGTTGAGCTGTGTAGAAACAAATTTTAAGCAAACCCTTGATGCCAGCCCCAGACATCAGTTCTAGCATTCAGGTTTACCCAACAGCACTCAGCTGAGACGAGCTAGGAGCTAGGAGACTCAGAGGATCAGGAGGTAGAGGACAGGCTAACTTAGGCAGGGGTGAGGCGTGGTACATCCTTCCCTAGGGAAGTAATCAATGCCGTCCACTTGGGCCTCTCAGCCATAATGGGGAGGAGTGTGCGCGTGTATTCATTGTATTCATATTTGACTTGCCGGGGGAATAGGAACCGGACTGTTGCTCCCCAGAATGACAGGAGCCAGAACCGAGAGGTTCTGTTAAAAAAAAAAACAAAAAAAAAGAGAAACCGGACTGATGCTCCCCAGAATGGAAAAGGAGCTAGATCCGTAAGGTTCCGTTTAAATAAATAAAAAAAAAGAAAGAAAGTTTAGTTTTATTTAATGAGTTTAATTCCTTCTATTGAGAAGCCCGCCAAAGGGCGTTCCCAAGGTTGGGGGTCTGCTTGGAGGGGCTGGCCATGTGCTAGATAAAGAAAAACTGTGGAAAAAAAAGAAAGGCCACTGGGCCAGGGCTTACTTTGACCACTTTGGATAATCTGCTGCTCCAGTGCTCCTGCAATATTTTTGTAATTTTTCTGCTGAGGACCGACCTGCACATCATTTCAGGTCCGGAGGTAGGTATGGTTTGACCAGAAAAAAAGTAACACTCTGGGCTACTTGGATGGAAAAGGTGCGCCATCAGACCGAATGGTAACCGAATGGTCAGAGTAGTACAAGAGAAAAAGCACCGGCAATGACGACCTGTGCCCTTATTTATTATTATGCTATAAAGCAAGCAGTTCTGGAAGATTGGGAGTACCATGTACACAAGAAGGGATGCACGGCCAAAGCCCTGAAGTGGTTCGTAAGCAAATGGGGAGCTTTTCTGGGACAAAAAAAAAAAAAGAAAAAAAAAAACGGTAAGGAAGAACAAAGACACGTTGAGGAAGTGATGATGCAAATTGACTACTGCTACCATAAGGAAGTGAGACTGGAAAGAACCGATGGCAGTAGTAACATCGTTGAATTTCGAGAAACAAAAGCCTTCGTAACTGAGGAACCAGTTGAAGTGGTAAGTATATGTACGTTTAAGAATGCTGAAAGCATTTGGGCTGATACGATCACAAGAAGTTTTCGCTCCTACGCCCCGATAGAGCAGAAAATCGCTACAGTTATTGCCACCCTTCATCGCATTCATCATAGTACAATTATGGATGCCCTTCTCCATTTTTCCTTGATCGCGTTGCATTGTGAGTTAAAAGGGGTGGAGTACCCAGGTGACATTTTTTTGAAAGCACTAAGCTCCTGTTGTCAAGAATGGGAAAGCTAGGCCTGTTTTATGGGGTACCTCATTTTCAGTGAATTGTCAGCTATGCTGGCAAATAAGCCTGATTCATGGTACCAGGTTTGACATTCCACACGTTTTCTCAATACCGAGTGCCAGGACATCAGACTATGAGCATATGAGATATCGGACTGCGACGAGACAAGTTGTGGGTTACGTAAGCAAGTGTTACATACTCCAATGAGTATGGGCAGAACCAAGAATCAACCAATATAGGATGAGTTTTTATGCAGTGGAAGTCTTATAACGAACTGACTCACATAGACTGACTCACATAGACTGACCTACATGGCATCACTCCACACACATACAATCATGAGATGGTGGGGTCTGGGTCATGCATAGAAGATACCCAGATCCCGTACACACATGCACAGAKGAAAGGTGGGAGGAGAGACGAAGGAGGTAGGAGGTAGATCACACCGATAGGTCACAAGATAGGGTCTGGTAGGTCTCCGAAGTAGTAGTCCAAAATGTCATACAACAAGATCAAAATGTCGAGGACCAAAGGTCACCAATGTCGGAGATAACCGAGTCCAGATGTAACCGGTGTCCAACTGTGATGCAGCCGAGTATCAACCTCAACAATCTCCAAGTCTCCAATCAGGTAAGTACCACAGTCTGATATCACCGAAGTCCAACCCTGATCTCTGTCCAACTGGATAGTCTCCAATCTGAAGAAGAAGAAGAAGAAGAAGAAGAAGAAGAAGAAGAAGGAGAAGAAGAAGAAGAAGGAGAAGAAGAGGAGAGAGAGAGAGAGGGGACTGGCAAGGGAGAGGAGGAGAGATCCTCCAAGCTCCC